GATACATAGTCTTATATATAATTTCCAAAAATGTGCAAGAAATTACTATAATTTGTTTACAAACCAAAACACATATTAAAATCAATGGACTTTGGATAGTTCATTCTGTGGTGTTCTCAGTACAAATGGGACACGCCTGATTGGAAACATACAGAAAAAAAAATATGGAACGCTTCACGAATTTGCGTGTCATCCTTGCGCAGGGGCCAAGCTAATCTTCTCTGTATCGTTCCAATTTTAGCACATGCGCTGCCGAAGCGAGCGCTGAAGAGCCCTTTATTGTGACTTCTTTTGAAAAGTAGGAAGACCCTTCTACTCGCATCTTCTAGGACAAAATCATCTTTGGCAGCTCAGTTTTAGGCAGAGCCTCTAAGTCAAACACCAGCCACATCACCAGCTGAACTGAACTAACAGTGTAAGGCGGACGGATGCTAGGAGCAAGCCTCTGACCCGAGTGTCTCTCTCGGAGGTCTAGCCCCTGCCCCCAGTGGTTTCTCAGAATATTCCACTGACCACAGTGTCCCCTGAGCCCCTCCTCTGGGCCAGCAGATAATGAGGACACATTGGTAGGTGGGTCCCTGGTACCAGTTTTGCCTAGTTTTCTCCCAGTGGGCTCAGGGCAAACACTGGCAGGTAAGGGCACACCTTCGACCCTCCGTCTCAGAGCAGTCTCTCTCCCAGTGTCTCCACAGTCAGTGTCCTGTGCCCCGCCCTGCGGCTGCCGTGTCACCAACACCACAGGCAGCACCCTGACTCAGCCTGTTTAGGGAGCCACTTCCCCAGCACCCGTCAGCTGTGGTCCCACGAGATGGGAAGAATCATTCAGCACGTGAGTAGCACAATTCCCTAAGCTGAGGGTTTGGTCTTGTTTTGTGACAGGGTCTCAACGTGTAGCTCAGGCTGGCTGCGACCAGCCTCCTGAGTACTGGGGTTGCAGGTGTGCGCCACCACGCCCAGCTCACAATCGACTTTCAGATCCTCTTCTCCATGCTTCCCCATGCTCCCATACCTTTCTGGGTCTCAGTTTCTTCATCTATAAAATGGGGGCAGCTTCAGCTCTGAGGAGCATACAAAGTTGTAAGACCCTACTGGCCCAGCATCAGCCACAAAGGTCCCTTAGAGGGTCTGCTCTAGGCTCAGTCACCAATTAGTCCAGAGTTTTGTTTTGTTTTGGGGGTTTATACTGGTGACTGACTCCAAGGCCTTTACAATGAAGTACATTCCCAGCCTTTTAAATGTTTTTAATTTTTTATTTTTGAGATAGGATCTGCTTAAGTCACTAAATTACTGATGGTGGGCTCCAACTTGCATTCTCCTGCCTCAGCCTCCCAGACCGTTGGGACTACAGACCCCAGCTCAGCAAGGGTTTTGATGGCATCGACAGAAAACAATCAGGCACTGTTTGACAAACGTGTTTATTTTAGCTCCTGTACCCCGTCCTTGGCTGCCAACAGACGAAGTGCGACCGCACCGTGCTCAGCAAGAGGGGCGCGTTCCCACCCCGCTTCCACCTGGGAGATGAGGCCTGCTGTACCGTTAAGAGTAAGCCTGCATGAACCTGGGGTCACCATGGCACCTCAAAGCTCAGCCCTGTGAGCTGCCATGCCCCCAGAGTCCCTGGACAAGAGCTACCAGGGACACCCACATGTGGGCTCAGGCCAGGAGAAGAACTGGGGACTGCAACAGACCCCAGTGGGTCCACCAATTAGGGCAGGGCTGGGGGAGAAGACGTGACCAGGGCAGCCTGGCCCTGCAGGTACAGCTCAGGGATTCAGGGCTGCTGCGTCACCACAGCTAACCTGGAGGGCCTGCGTGCCATCCCTATCAGCCGAAACCCAGCAGGGACAAAAGGAGTGGGAACACCTGGCCCTAGTGCCAGGGGGAAAAAGTACACCCTACATATTGAAAAGTAAACTCAGCCAAACCCCAGCCCACCGAGCCAGCAGGGAGCTGGGGAGCCCTTGGCTACAGATAGGAACCCTAAGTCTTCCAAAATCAGAAGGGAGGGCCTGGGGTTGAGTGTATTGTCACCATGGTAAGGCCAAGGTGGGTGAAAGGGTTCCCTGGGGTCCCCAGTGTGGAGCACCGAGAACTGTAAACATGACCCAGGAGAGGCCGGACTGTCCCAGCTCCCTGGAAATCATCCTGGTTGAAGAGCTGCCGGGCACTGTGGTGAGTGAGAAGTTTCACCAGGCTGGAGACAGTGATCCTGGTGTCCCCAGAGGACTGCTGGGCCTGGCAGGAGCTAGCCGAAGGTTTGGGAAGCTGCAGCCACCTTCTCTTGGCCCAAGGCAGCACCTGAGCCCCTCCTGAGCATCGAACCTGCACAAAGTCATCGAAACTTCTGGGAACACTCTCAGTAAGGGCAGGTAACAAGAGAATGTGGCCAGGGAGTGGCTGAGAGCCAGCCTGGGCAGCGTCCTTCCTTGGCTGTTGTAGCCCAAGAGCCCTGGGGAGCAAGGAGCTACCTGGTCACATGCTAAACTTGTGCCCGTGCAGGGTCACTGCCTCAAGGCCACTGTTCCCACTGACTGCTTAAAAGTGGAAAGTGGGCAGGCCAGTCTGGTGCAGGCAGGAGCCAAAGGGCAAGCCAGGTAAGGGTGTGGCCAGCATGTCCCTGCCCACAGCCAGGGCCTGGTAGGAGGGGCAGGGCCTGAGCCCCAGGTTCTGTCAGGCTGGCTCAGGCCTGTGACCAGCAGGAGGCCTTTCAGGCCAGTCCAGGCCTAGAGCTCAGCGCCCTGGAAACCAGCACATCCGGCTTCTTAGGGGCCTCCAGGCCAGATTCCTCACAGACTCAGACATGAAGGTCTCCTCCAGGCTACATCTTCGGAGTCAGACGGTTCTAAAGCCCTCTCAGGACCAGCACCTTCCCAGAGCTTGGATCCCTGGAAACGCAGCCACCCAGGACGCTTCAAGGTGTCCACACTGGCTATCCCTGGAGCAGGGCTTCGGGCCCGGCGCGGGGCTGGGGCTGCGGTGACTTCAGGGCTGGGCCTGGCCCCCGAGCCACAGGACCCTGAGCAGACGAACCTCCTGCCCGTACCACTCGTGCAGCTGGGCGAAGGGCGCCCAGTCCGGGGGCCTGCCGGGCGTCGAGGCCCTGCGGCGGCGGCGGGGAGGCAGCGGGGGCCGGCGGGGGCCG